TAATAATAAAGGTTAATCTTTTGTAAAAGAAATGTACCTCAGCAGCTGATGCAAGTAGGCTTTCTTTACCTCTTTTTGGACAGGAAGAAAAGGATCAGAGGTCTGACATCTGGCCCAGAAAGATGATTTTCCTCCCCTCACCCTTTCTTACCTCTGAAACCTCTTCTGTCCAGTGCGATGTAAAACCTGGAGTCGTTTGGCCTGTCCTTCAGGCTCACTTTGTACAGTTCCCATATGCACAGGTATACATTAAATAGGTAATTATGCCTTTCCCTTATTATTTAAGGAAGTATTTTTTTAATTAATTTATTTAAATTTCACCAGAGAGGGACAGAGAGAGAAAGTGAGGAATCAAGCTGCCAGGTCTGGAATTTGAGCCACAGTGGGGAGTCCAGCATGTCACCTTCCGTCCTGTCTTTCCCTTGTTAATCTGCCTATGATCAGTGATTTTTTTTTTGTAGTGAGATTTCCTTCATCCCAACATATACATGTCAATAAACCTGTCCTGTCTGTCTTATTAAACTCTTGTTACAAGGAGTCCATCAGTGCACCCAACTACCTACACTTGTTCCTGGTGGTTAATGTTCCCCTTCCTGCTAAACAGTATTTACTGGACTGATAATACCTAAAAAGAGATTCTCATCTTAATCCCTTGTCTGTGTGTGTATACATAAACTGATTTTTAGTTTGCTATAGGGTGTATGCGCTCCCCAGAGGGTGAGGGGAGTGAGATAGCACCCTCCAGAAGGGATGACCATACCGCTATCCCTTCTCCATTCTCCTCTGGATTTTTGGGCACACACACACACGTGCGCGCCTGGCATGATTTTCAAGCCTCTGGTCCAGGATTCGAACTGCAGTCAACTATGTGGGATCTAGCCGCCCCAACCTCTGAGTCACCTGCTGGCCCTACATTGGTAAATGTGACTCAAGGAAAGCAATTTTGTTGCACCTTGTAGGGGTGAATAATGGGGAAGCAGCCCTGGAAAGAAGAGGCAGAGCTTTTTACTATTAACTGCCGCCTTAGCAGTTCTATGGGTTAAACCAACACTAAAAATCACCTTGTACCACGTTCAATATTCAGAAACCTGAAAAGTGTGCAGAACTTTCTGTGTCCCAGACTGTGCCCCTAAAACAACGGTGGAAGTAAGGGCAGTGGAGTCGGACGGTTAAACTCACTGCCGACCACGCCCAGAGCCTGCGGGAAATGCTTTAAGTTGGGTTGCAAAGTCCTTCTGGGCCAACAGTCGCTGTGGTGTTATCTAGGGTGGCACTCCGCAGAGCTCTACACTCCTATGTATATACCACGGTTCGGGCTCCGGGATTTCTGTGGGTCTCAGTATCTCCACCTGTCAAACGTGGAGCTTGCATCACAGAGAAGTATTCCTGAAGTATGAGCAGCAGGATGCCGTGTTTGCAAGGGGAGCTCAGCCCAGTCTCAGGGCGTTTCGGAGGGCAGAGGCGGCGGGAAGGTGGGAACTGTTCCAAAAGAGCGTGGGAAGGGGGCGCCCCACCCCGCAGGCCGGACGAGGCGGTCGGGATGCCACCACCACCCACGATCTGTCCTGGAGCTCCGGTGCTGACAACCTGACTTTCCAGAGTGCCAGGTCCCCTTTGCCGGACGCGCAGGGTGCTGACTGCGCTCCAGCGCCGGCTGCAGGCTCGCGCGCACTCCGCGCAGGTCTCCCAATAAACCCAGCCCGACTCCGGCGGGGGCGGTCCCCGCGCGTGC